CAATAACAAAAACTTGACATCAATCATGGAGAGGAGGGAACGAAGGAGTGGATGGTGGTGGTGGTGGTGGTGGTGGTGGTGGTGGTGGTGGTGGTGGGGGGGGGGGGGTGCAGGAAAGGTGCTAGTTAAGAAGATTACAGTTACCAGGGCATCACGTTTGAGGTTCTTGTTGTGAAGGTGTGTGTGTGTTTGTGAATCCATAAAATATGAATGAATACAACATTTCTGAGCTGATCATTCATTAGCCCTGAGAAAAGCTTGTTACCTGCAACCGAGAGCCAACACTGTTTTCTGTTGTGATGGATTCAGGCCTAGTCCACACGTAGCCGGGGTTTTTTAAAACTAATATCCGCCCCTCCAAAAACTTGCACCCACACCACCTCGTTTAAAAACAAACTCTGTCCACACGTACCCGGATAAATACGTTGTTAAGGACATGCCAGACCTGTAGGCGGCAGTACTTCCCCCGTTCTTAACCTCGTCCTTCGTCTGTGGTCTTCCGCAAGGAGCAGTAATTCCGCTTGCAAAAACAAACAAGCAAAAAGCGCTTGGACGATTGATAAAGCGAGCGCAGCTCTGAGGGCATCCATGCTGTCGGCTAGTGTAAACACAGGTCGCACACGTGATGTCAGCATTTTTTTGTCGCGGAAAGTGACGTTGCAGACCTTAAAACTCCGGTTTTGTCCGTCCACACGCAGACACCCAAAACGGAGAAAACGCAGATCTTCACTTTGGCCGGAGTTTTTAAAAAGATCCGTTTTCGTGTGAAAAAACTCAGTTTTCGTGTGGATGACAGGCCAAAACGTAGAAAAATATCTACGCTTTGGCAGATCCCTGGCTACGTGTGGACAGGGCCTCAAACTGAGTGTGTGTGTGTGTGTGTGTTTGTGTGTTGGAGCACGTAGAGGAACTTTTTTGACTTGAGGAGATTTTTTGTTGTTTGCTTTTCTGTAGCAGAGCACTGTGTGGATGAGTTGTTGCCTGCAGTCGAGGACTGAAAGGATGACACGTACATTGATGCTCGGTTGTGTCACTTCCTTCTTAGACACTGTGTTTTTTCTATTTTATGCACATATCTTCACTTTAAACCTCAAATGTTCTCAATATTTAGTTACTAAGAATATCCTGTTAGGTTATATAAGTTACACACTAACTCGTTGCTTTAACTAGGGCAGATGTCGGTGCACAGTCACTATAATAAGTGCATATTTGTGTGAAACTGACACAACCAGCGGGCTGTGTACTGATTGAAAGGATTTGGAGTGAAAATAAAACAAACTCCTGCCTAAATCAATCAGCAGCTGATTTTAAAGACATTAAACTCGCACACAAACGCATTCTGTTACATGGATTTATTGGAAAGTTTGTTACCCGTTTTATCAAGTGTGAATAGAAATTTCCATTTAGATTGCGATGCTGCTAATGTTTCATTATCAGCTTGAACGCTACCCCCAAACGGACAGGAAAGTTATTCTCGGTTTACTTTCTGGATTTTAACGCAGAAGCTGCATTTATTCTCAGACCTTAATGACTCGTTGTATCACAACAAAACACCAGACGTGATTGCATTTATAATTCATAAGTTAGCTGGGAAAAAGCATAAAATGTGGAATATTTAAGAAAAACAACCCAAATGTGTCCTCTAAGGACTTTGAGACGTCCCCACTCTGTGTGATGCTCGTCCCTGAGCGTGCTGCAAACACTGTTGGTTTTATTATTTTGAAGCAGCTGTGTTCTGGGATGTTTTCACACGTCATCGGGGAGTAAATAGTGCTTTTCTCTGGGCTGGTTTTCCAGGTGGATATTTCATTGGGTTTTTATGGTGTAAGGCTGAGTCGAAATGAACTGTACTGCTTATGGTTAAAGGTCAACTTAATTCTTAATATTTTTAACATTTGCAGTGATCTCTAGTTGGAATAAATGCCTTGTAAGTCATGCTCTGGAGGAAAAAAGCTCCGGTGCACCTGTTTGAGGATGTGGAAGTCAGCTAGAGGAGAAAGTGGCAAACACGGCAGGATTTGGAGTCTTATTTGTCTTATATTATGTTTAATCTCCACAAATAACACAAGTAGGGCTGCAGCTATCGAATATTTTTCTAATCGAGTACTCTATCGAATCTTTTTTTCGATTAATCGAGTACTCTAATAAATGACCCTTTTGTGTTTGTAAACTATTATATAAAATAGCATGTTATAATTATGAAAGACCTCTCAAAATGAGCAAGCAATTGCCAGTTATTCTTCAAGTTTTATTCAAAATTAAGTTTGCAAAACTTCAGCACTTCAACTTTACTTCACAGTAAACAAACGCCTGTGCAAAAAATAAGTAAACAACCTGAGCCGATTTTCCTCTCGTGCGAGAATCTGCTAGCCTGCAAGCCAGACAGAAACTAGGATAACTGTTGAAGTAGCGCTGCGAGCGGCTGCAGCCCAAACAGAACAAGAACCGCTCACGGCGCAAACAGCTCGCCCCTGTTTCCTTATTAACACACGTCCGTTTTAATTTCTACACTTGTTTTTCTCACACAATAACAAGGATTGTCGAGAAAGCATGTTTGCTGTGGTTTTGTCAAATTATACTGATCACAAAACATTTATTTACTTTCTTTTGTTTTCCTCCGTCACTCATAAATACCCGTGTCCTCCTGCAGCAATCCCGAGGGACAACAAATATCAATAACAACACAATAAAAAGTCAGACATATTGTGTAAAAACTGCTTTTTTAGCACATTTTAAGTCCGACGTGTTGCTACCAGACGTACGGTGTGAGCTGAAACTGAGTGCTACAAACGAAAAAGTCGCACAGTGTCCGCAGAATATATAGAAATACAGGCTAAAATGTATTATCTTGTAGAGGCTTCGAGTCCGCTTGCAGAAGTGACATTTACATGTGCTGCAGCATGGAGGATGTGGTGTTGTGCTAGGCTAAATCCATTTTACAGTATTTTCACTGGACTACGTTTTCCACCATACGACGTGAAAAATGGTCCCACAACTTTTACATTTTCTGTCTTTTTCGCACTCCACCGGGGTTCAAGTTGTCCACCATGGCTTAAGAGAAAGTTAAGTTACATTCGCTACTCCCGTGTGCATTCAGTCCAGTGGGCATGTGCGTCACTTATTTCGGTCCGGGTGAAACATGACCCCGTGCGTTTGCAAAGCCATGAATTAATTAAATATGAATTAAACGAATCCTCGAGGCAGAGAATTTGACTCGAGGATTTTTTGTACTCGAATTATTCGAGGTACTCGAGGAATCGTTTCAGCCCTAAACACAAGCTTGAAAGAGTTCTGCTCTGTGGTGGAGTTGCTAATGCTAACGGTTAGCTTCTACTAGTAGAGATGGGTGAGTCCATGAATGTTAAGTGACAGTGTGACGAAGATCTGTCGGGTTTTTCAAATCCTAGAGTTTCCTCGTCTATTTTCAGAAACTAATGCAGGAAAATAGGGTTAGAAAACTATCTTCATGTTCACCTCCGCACGTTCTCGGAGCCACTCTATCGTTGGAACGAGCTGCTAGCAAACAAACACACACTCTCACATGAAGATGAAGGTTAAGGAGGATTTCTTTACACCTCCACTAGAAGGAAGAGTGGAGGAAGTCTGCAGTGCAGCCACATCAGAAATACTGGCTAATGTCACAAGGTACCACTTAGCCAATAGCAATGGCTGATTCAGATATGTCAGACTTCTAAGCTGAAGAGGGCACAACACTGACGGTTTTTGGCAGAATATTTTAAATAAGATGGAATAAAATGTCAAAATAATAACTACACGTCTACAGCACTGTTAGACACTCATTTTTACAGTTTATCAGCAAAATAAGTTGGTTGGGGCCGGTGACTTACTCTTTAAAAGCTGAGTATCAATTTTGTAATGAGAATCCACATCCAAGCATTTACTGTATTTCTTTTGTGAGGTGCACTTCAAACTCTTACTGCTAGGTGGCAGCAGTTTTCCATCTTAATTCTGATGAAACGGGAAGATCTCGCGCGATAACACTGGGTGTGTCTTGGAATCATCTGCCTGAGTTTTCCAATAAAATTCAGCCTTAAAAATCTCAAGTATCATCTGGCTTTTAGTATAATATATATTGTTTTGTCTCCCTTGTATTGTTTATGTTTATGTATTTAGCAGACGCATTTGTCCAAAGCGACTTACAAGTTATAATCGGCATGTTGCCCTTGAGGCTAACAACAACAACAAACAATTTCCAGTCAGTCATAGGTGGCAGTGAGGCAGCATGATGAATCATGGAGAGGAGGGAACAAGGAGTGGACAGTAGAGAGGGGGGATGGGTGCAGGGAGGGTGCTAGTTAAGAAGATGCTCTCTGAAGAGCAGGGTCTTCAGGAGTTTCTTGAAAATTTAAAAGGAAGCCCCTGTTTTGGTAGTGCTTGGAAGGTCATTCCACATTTGTGGAATGATGCATTAGAAGAGTCTGGATTGTCCTGAGCGTGGTGTAGGCACTGCTAGCCGACGATCCTGTGATGACCGGAGCAGCCGGGCCGAGACGTAAGCCTTTGCAAGAGGATTCAGGTAGATGGGAGTCGTACCATCTCAGACTTTGTATGCTAGTGTTAGCAATTTAAATTTGATGCGTACTGCTAGCGGTAGCCAGTGGAGCTCAATGAACAGAGGGGTGACGTGTGCTCTTTTTGGCTGATTGAAGACCAGACGCGCCGCTGCGTTCTGGACCATTTGAAGAGGTCTCACAGTACAGGCTGGAAGACCAGTTAGAAGGGCATTGCAGTAATCGAGGCGGGAGGTGACAGTAGATTGCACCAGGAGCTGGGTGGCATGTTGTGCTAGGTATGGTCTGATCTTTCGTATGTTATACAGCGCAAAGCGGCATGAACGAGCAACAGAGGCAACATGATCTTATTGTGATATCATCATATCGTTTTACTTGTATTGATATCAGATTCTTGCCAGCACACACCCGTAAAGATGATTGTTTGTTGTAACTCTTGTGTTTTGATGTGTTGTGTCACTTTTACAGGTGATGTCCCAAGCAGAGGGCCAACAAAAGAACCTGGTCCATTCCATCGACTCCCTACCGACCAGAGGCCCGCTCTCCTGTTTGGATCAGGACCTGCTGCTGCTCAAAGCCACGTCGGCCGCCACGCTCAGCTGCCTGGGGGAGTGCCTGAACATCCTCCAGAGCCACAGCCAGGTGCCACCTCAGTCCCAGACCTCCCAGCATTCTGCCCATGGAGCCTCCTTTGGTGAGTCAGCCCCGTTTCGTTACTGGAGCCCCCAAACTCCTCCTTGTCCTGTCAGTCCTCTCCCCCAAGGCCCAGCATCAAGGCTCATCTGGGCCAGCGAGACTGTGGCTCATGTCCATGCCTGATGGACACTGTGAACTTCTGCCGTAAATGTTGAATGTTGCATTTTCCAAAAACTTTCATGTCTGTTTTGTCCTGTGTTACATTCTTTCATTCTTTATTTCTTCAATGTCATCCTGTCAAATTGAAACGGCTCCTTAAACGGTACATGTGGAGCTTTTTTTCCCCACAAGCATGGATGTAAGGTGTGTTTGGTGTTGCTTATAAACCCCTTGTAGCATGTTTACCGTCCGTGCATGTCAGGAAATAATGGTTTTTATGTGAGTGAGTAAACAGAAAAAATATGGACTTGTAAATCTCCTTAATGGATTAAAGCTACAAACCAAAGCAAACTGGTGCCACCAATTTCAAACCATGCTCAACCCTTCTTGCACTGGGTTCAGTAGTTTTGTTTTCATTTAAACCATTTGCAGCTCTGTTGGCTTAAACTGAGGATAATGATGAGGGTGCAGTTTGAGAAAAAGCAGGATGGAAACAAACACGGTCAGAATCAGCGGAGATCAGTGGGCTCTCGTGGACTAATCCCATTTCCCAGAATAAAGATGGACATTTATAATCTATTTACAGTGTCCAGGTTGCCGTAGTACAACACAGCCATAAATGTTTCATCTGGTAAATGGGATTGGGGTTGATTTAGAGCTCGTTCTGTTTGAGGAAGATGCTTGAGGCAGTCGGTTTGAATTTACAACAGACAGATTAGGAACATCGGAGTAGAAATGAGTCAGTTGATGGACACAAGCCGGGATTCCCATCCTTTATGACAATTGTTATAATTCAAAAAAAGTTTAGTTTTGTTGGATAAAGTAGCATTTTGATGCTCAAACAAGGAAAAGAACAAATGCTTGTGGAAACGGAAAGATACGTCCGCATTCAGGAGATGGAGGAACATAAAAACTGGAGGTCAAGGTTCATACCTTATAATTAAAATTCAGTTTTTTTTTCATTTCATTTTAAGTCAGTTTTTTTTTTCAAAAAAACAATTTTTTAATGATCAAACGTTTCAGTATTTAAATGTTATAAATCCAAAGTCATGAACCAAAGGTTGTAAGTACAGCCATGACCATTAGTTTTGAGAATGACGTAATTAGTGTCACAAAGGTTTTAGCTACGCAGCTAACAGACGTCATTGCAGTCGATGGGTTTGTTTCCACCCGACACGTCCCTGAAGCGTAGTGTTGTCGCGCTGCAAAATTTACACTTTAGGTCTAATTTTTACAAGTACGCCATTATTGGATTCAGAGGGGTTGGAGACCAACAGAACTTTAAGACAGAGAGGAAATTATCTCTGTCTGACCCCAAAACAAGCTCTTATCTTAATCTGGTGCCCTTGAGCCTGTGAGGCTGAAGTGATTACTCCCCTTCAGAAGAAATGTGGAATGCTGTCGTCGCCATGGTAACTCTGTCTCCCTATCCCAGCCTGGGCGGGACTGCGGCCGGTGAAGGCCGTTGAATTGTTTCCAGGAGTCACTGTGCTCTCTAACCCAAATACCTCCTCCCCCTGTCCAAACGGAGGTGACGAGCGCTGCTCATCGCGGCTGCATGCACTGATGGGAGGATAGTCCCCAACCCTACCTCCCCACCTAGTGGACACTTATGTTGTGTAATGTCTGATGTCTGTTGCATTTCTGAGGCGTTTTTTGCATAGCAAAGCTGCCCTCCCTGTGGAGGGTAACTCTGAAGTGCCTTTTTTCCTCCACCTGACTCAGTCCTCATGTAAACCCTCTGATCTCTACTAAGGTAGTGCGACTCGGGTTGCAAATGACCACAGTCACCAATTCTTGTCATGTGTCTATGCCTATGTATGTACGTCTGATCTCAGAATTGTGTGTACTGAAACTCTAATTTCCCTCTGGGATTAATAAAGTATCTTTGAATTTGAATTAGAATTTGTAAGGCTTCCAGAACACGTCAAGGAATCAGACATGGGGGCAGCGTAAAGCATCTGGCAACTTTTAAAATAAGACAAGCGCAAATATTCAATTGCTGAAAGCTACTTTCGGAAATTACGTATGATTGTTTTGGAAATCTGTAAAAATGATCATCTTACCCTGTACTGTGATATAATGTAGGCAATTCGTCCCTTTTTTTTTTTGCCAAGCACGTTCCCTATTATGTGACCAGTACTCAGCATTAGCTAATAGTGTCAACATCTGCTTATGTACAGATGTCAACCAGTGTGTTTTACCTTTGTGCCAGTGAGACTTGTGCATCCGGTGAAAAACCTAGGTGAAGACTTACTCAACGTTCAGCCTCAGAACAGCAATAAGTACAGATTGGTACCTAAACACCCTCCAAGAGGAACTCCACTCAACCATCCAAGATTCGTTTTGGTGTCTTTTTCAGCATGCTACAGCACCTTAAGGACACATTTATAACAAGCTGAATTTTGGGTCTATGTCCAGGAAACTCCAACCTTATTCTCGTTAGCCCCTTTCATAAGACGCACCTTGGCTGCAAATTAGCGCAATAGTGCCACCATGGTGTGACTTATGAAAGTGCCGAGGCGGCACGGCGATGCAGGAATGTTGCGGTTTTCGTGCCACCAAGCTAGGTATGACTTCAACGACAGACTTGTGAGTGATGATCACACCTTCGTGCAACAGAAGGTGGAATATCCGCCGAGCATTGGCTGGCAACTATTTTAAAAATTAAAGTAAACACGGGCAGTAAGTTTTGCAGCTGAGATGCAAACTGGAGCAACGCAGATCACCGCGAGCTACTTCGGTTAAAGCTGAAGCACAGATCACATGACAGTTCATGGGGACTGTGAGGGACAGCCACATTTTGGAGTGGCTTGTGAAAAAAATTAAGGAAAAATCATCAAAAAAAACAAATTACGTTTGAGCTAAAAGGAAGATTGTGATGGCGCGTAGACCGCCCCCGCACCTTAACCCGCGATCGTGTAATGTTTTGTGAAATTCACATTCGCGGCAAAATGGTCAAACACTCCCTGATGCCACCTCAATCTTGCAGCGAATTGGTGCCGTTGTTTTATAAAAGAGGCCAATGAGAACTAATCTTCAAGATGTAGGTGGACATTTTGCTAAGCACGACCCTGCCCTGCAGAGCGCCGTGCAATAGGAAACTGAGCGCCGACCAGAACTAACCAATAGCGTTAGACTACTGCTTACATGCTTCAAATTTACGGAATACCTCGACTGATGCAGAGTTCATGAACTTTTCACGGACAAGAAAGTCTTTAAAATATAAATATATGAAAAAACAGCATGACGTGAGAATAATACTCGTAAAACGTGTTTTGGCTCAGTTTGTCGGCTACAGAAGCACATTTATAAACAGAAACGTGGAGTTGCGATCTTAAAAAAACTGAAGGAAGAAATCATTTGTGTGATATGCTTGCCAGCAACTAAATGATGCCATCGGATAAGAGAAATACTCCGGAAAGAGACTTTAACTCAACAATCAGTTAAAGCCCGGAGACTTCTGGGAAGCTTGTAATTCTACTTCAGTAACCACGGAACCAAGCGGATCTAAAGAATCAAACTAAAACTCTTGTCTTTTGTACGTTCTTTCTGTGTTTGTCTTCAAATTCCATTTTTGGTTCTTTTTTAAAAAAGTAACCAAAAATAAAACTCTTGTCATCCTGAAACCTTTGGTCTTGGCTGCACTGTACGGTTTTACTTTTCCTGAATCAAAACCAGTGATCTGTGACTTTGGGACCTATTTCCCCCCCTAACCCTAACCCTCTAATATTTGGATGGGTCTCTTTTGGAATCTGTCCATCTTCACTTTTTCTTGGTCTTCTTTTCGTGCCAGCCGCCACCCCGTCCTGCACCTGCTCGTCACAAAGGGGGTGGTGTGGAGTGGGACCGCCCAGCCGCAAGTACAAACCTCTTTCCTTCCGCTGCCTGGCTGACGAGTCCTGTGGGGGTCCGGCTGCTCCCCATTTCCAGCATGTACCCTCCACATCCCAGTGAGGAGTTGATTTTGTGCGAGTTTATTGGCGGTTTTGTTCACCAGCATGAGCTGCATCCTGACTGGATGCGGCTGGTTAAAGGGAGCTGGTTGAATGGTTTTATGCCCAAGCAAGAAAGCATTGCCACTGCATGGGCAGACGTTTAGGCAGGATCAAAGCATGAAGTTGGACTGAGTTTGTCTGGCACGTTATTTCTTCGTGTTTTCTGTTCATGCTACAGGTCCACTCACTGGGATCTAGACATGATGAAGAGTAGAGAAACCTGCCAGTCACAAACCAGACTTCAGATCATCAGCTGATGTGTCTGATGCTCGCTTCAGCTCTTTCAAGCCACACCTTCCCCCTCTTCCACCGGCATATCGAGCATTTTCCTTTACGGGACTTTAACTCCATAAGGGATATTTACCTTGCCTGTAGTCAGTCCCCTTTGCAGCCTAAAATGAAAAAAGCTGTACGTTTGACATTTAGCCCCACAAAAAGACTGTGGATTTGATGTTACAGGTCAGAATTGAAAGTTGAATTCATTTGAAGCATTTTTGCATGAATGTTTGTCTCTGCACACCGCCTGCATGTTTCTATCCAACAGCAACATTGGATAGCCTCTGAGCATCTCCACTTTCTGCTTCACTGGAAGTTTCTGATCAGTTTCATTGGGTCCCGAATACCAATCCAAGTCAGTGGAGATGAGATTCGGATAAACACCACACATTAACTTTACATTAGATCAATTTTGTATATCTCTGTGTGTCAAAGGAAAAAAACCTTTCAGTGCAGATTAAATTTTTTCTTTAAAGCCACACAGTTTCTTTTACGTGAGCATGGGGTTTTACCAACAAACACACATTTACAAAAGTCTCTAACAAAGCTGTTTGTCAGGAAGGAACAAATCAAGCCTTTAAAAGTCCCACAAATTGATTAGAATAATTTTATTAAACTTTGGCCT